TCCGTTAGTTTTGGTTAATGTAGTCTAGGTCTAACGACGGACTCAGTTTTTTTTAAGGGTTTTTAAGCGGGTGAGGTCTTCAATATCAGTTTGTCGAAAGTAAACAACCTCTTCGTGCGCACTAGAAAAACCTTCCTAAAGATGTATAACATTGGAGCTTGTGTTGCTGGTCTAAAAACGACAAACAAGCATGGTTCCACCTTGGTTAACCACTGTACATAAAATATAAGAATTGCCAGAATTTTACTGTTTATTTGTTATTATTATCAGTTGCACTATTTTACAAACCCAGTCATCAACTAAATAAACTAAGTAAATCAAACATGCCTTAGATTTTTTTTTTCAAAGATACATACATCTATTTACTTCCTGAAACTGAAACTCTTTCAGTCAAACTGTCAAGAAGTCAACAGGATGATTGGAGAAACGTTAGCAAGTTCGACTCAACAAAAACCGACGCAGGAGGAATCCAGAAGTTATGTAAAAATTATGCTTCAGATTATATATTTATAAACATTTTCTCTTTGCAAATGAACCAATGGACTTTCATAGTTTCATCATAGTTAATCGAACATCCTAAAAATGGTTTGTCATTGTGAGTTTTATAAAAAGGACACCAACTTGGCTATCATATTCCATCACTGAACTTACAAAGGCACAATAAAAGAGTCTTATAGAAAGCTGTTACTAAACCTGTTTAAAAACATAAACTCATATAGCTCTTAGCTATACTATCATTTAAATGATTCCAGAATGTTAGTCCACAATAAAGCAAGACCCCTAAATCTGCAATTTAAGGGTATAGAATTCAAGGAATAATCAAAAATAATTGTTGAATATTTACCACAGAATCTTATACATTGGCATTTTTTATATTTTGATTCAAAGCATTTAATGTCAATCAACTGTAAATTGAATTTATATCAGATTCTAGAGTTAGACAATCTTTGAACAAGTTTCTCAATATCATAAATAAATAACAGAATAAATAGGAAACAGGACCAATATGTGAGCTCTGAAGTACACAGACCGTCAATTTTCTCTTTACTTTCGCTAAGAAAAGAAACTAACCAAACATTTATCATTACATGTTACTAATAAATCCAGAAGTTTGGGCATGGCTGACTGTATGCAGATAACTCCATAATTACTGATATCACTGTTATTAATTTGTTTACTTTTTTCAGGTAAAAATTCTTATTTTTCTTATTAGAAGTCTTTTGAAGTTTTTTAATTATATTATATTATAACTTTTTATTTATGCAATAATCCGAACCATTCGGTCATCCGAACAGCAGAGGTTTCAGATTAAAGATATTTGCACTCTATATGGATACATATCAATCAGACTATACCCTGATCCTAATAATTTAAATAATTATTTTGGTAGATTTATTCAGAACATTTCCGATTGCAATTAAAAAATCACTTTTCATGACAACGATCTTTACAATAATATTTTGCAAATTTCTTTCAAAATTTCAACAATAACCAATTCAACTAGTGTGTATGACAAATCACTGTTACTGCTAAAGTACTCCATATATTGATAAATATATTACGCATATAATCAGCTGTTGTATGGAAATTGACTACTTTCCGAATGAGTATAAAATATCATCAATAATTATTAATTTTTGGTAATAAAAATAAGATGAATGGCATCAAAAATTCTTTAAATATTTTAATTGATGGCACAGTGCTTAACTTCGTTAATAATGCTCAGACTTGGGCATTTGCTTAGATAGCGAGCTAAGATTTAAAGAATATTTAAAAAGCATATTTCAAAGGGCATATACGGCATTAAAAATATTATACAGTAATAGACCAATTTTAGGTCAAAAGTTAAGAAAAAAGTTGGGCGAGTCCCTTATCTCATTAAATTTTAATTATTGTAATTTTGTATATGGTTTTTGTTTAGATAATGAAAGTAAGTGTGGAATTCAAAAATATCAAAACCAATGTGTGCGCTTTTTGAGACAATAATGCCTCATCATTAGACTGCCATGCCACCGTAAAATATTCTAATTTAAATTGTAATATGTTGAAAATTAAATATAAGAAAGAATTACTGCATCTATAGAATTTGCTGTAGAGGTTTTTACTGTTTTTTTTTTCAGTTTTTCTCATGCTTTAAAAATTCGTAGCTGGCAAACGACGTCATCATCAATTTCTTTTTTAATTTTGTTGTGTAATATTGTGCCACGCACTGGTTCAGTAGAGCAGCTAATTCTAAGCTAGACTGCACCAGTCGACGATACGACCAATTGGTCCCTGTATTGTATGTTTGTTATGTTATTATCTTAAATAAAAGACGTTTATTATTACTATTTTGTATTATTTTATTTATTATTATTATCATTGTTATAATAATTATTATTATTAATATACATTACATTACCGATTATCTTTGCCACTGTCCAAAACTTCCATATCTCAGACGTAAGTTAAAAAAGGCAATGTTGCATCGTAAATTTTGTCAGGATATCTTTAAAAGGTGGGAAAAAAGAATCTAAAATTTGGAAAACGTGACTTTTTCCATAAATCGAAGAGCTCGACACTTTAAAAGCCCCATGACGCTTAATAATTTAAAGGGTTCCCCCTAATATTCAAGTGTTTTCCTTCCAGAGCGAAAAACAATCCTTACTATGCTTCGATTTAATCCGTACTTGTGTCGGATAAAATCGGACTTGCGACATGCAAATCAGCATCCCAACAGCGGCAGATTTCAGTCGCATTCGCACGGGGCTTTTGCAGTTCCGAACCGGGAGACAGTGAAGGTTCATTATCTACAAGTCGTCAAGCTAAAAGATATCTCAATATTTATAAGACGTCCGAGACATTAATAATAAAACAATAAATAACATTCCCTTTAGCGAGTCATGCCGCGTCCCACTTTTTATTTATTTCACCACCAACCGAGGGACACACGATTAATAATACCGAACAAACGGTATATAACTGCGTTCTAATGACAGAATGGACGTATTACTTGCAAGGGTTGCCACCGATAAATATGAGAACTGACGCGGTCATTCGTCATACTCAAATTGCAATCAGGAACGCGCCAAACAATGGCGCCGATAACGCGTCGTCGGCGTTTCTTTTGTTTGACGGACTGGATCGGATAACACATAAGCACCAAGAGATCCTGGGGTCGCCATTTCTTTTTTTTTTACCTTGGAATTGCATTTAACAAATATTATAACTACTTTAGCAATTAAATATGAAATTAAAGTTAAATTTTTATGTGCATACAAACAAATGTTGGAACATGCGTCCAAATATATACCTTGAGTATTTTTTGAGTATAACATAAAAGAGAATGCGATGACAATTGAACCAACAATTCTTGCCTTTGTAACTATTTGTTATTTGTGCTTTTTAAACAAATGTTGAAACATGCGTATAAATATATTCCTTGAACACTTTTTGAGTATAACATAGAAGAGAATGCGATCACACTCGAATCCACAATCCTTGCCTTTTTGTAACTATTTCTTGTTTTCTAAGTTTGGGAAGCAAAAGAAACGTTCGTCGAAACTGTTATTTGTGTTTTTTAAACAAATGTTCAAACATGCGTCCAAATGTATACCTTGAGCACTTTTTGAGTATAACAAATAAGAGAATGCGATGACAATCAAAACAAGAATCCTTGCCTTTTTGTAACTATTTCTTTAATTCTAAGTTTGGAAAGCAGAAGGAATATTATTTGTTTTTTTAGCGAATTCAACAATTTTCATCTACATTTTGAATTGGTTCATTTCTAAATGAATGAAGGTGATGATCACGATGTAATCAGTACATGCGTCTTATTTTTTACACTATTCCGACTTGTTGTGGTTATTATTAGAATATATCGAACTTTTCGTCATCTTGTGCTACATTTTCATGATACGAAGATACTTCAACAACCGAGCAAAAATGGTCCCACTTTTTATTTATTTCACCATCAGATGAGGTAACAATTGAACCAACAGTTCTTGCCATTTGCGAAATTTTAAATTGAAAAGAATTGCACCATTATTAAAACTTGTGCTAATCGAAAGGTGTTGTGGCTCTCCAATTAAAAGTGAAATGGTAGCAAACTTCTTTGTCATATTTCAAAATATGTTGTGTTTTTCGATTTTTTTATTTGTTGCTGAAAAATCTATCTTCAAACACAAGTTTCAGTCTTTGCATTGATAATGCACATACACAAAAATTTAGTAAAATGTTTTATGTATCAGTCGCTTGTAATACTGGTCCATATGCTATAACAGAATGCTCTGTTCTTTAGGCTGTACAGCTAATTTGACAGACATCTTAAACTACCAAATAAATAACCACAAGAATTGCTTAAAGAATGCAAAACTAATAATAATAATACAAAGACTAAGACTTAAACTGTTTTATTCTTTTTGAAGTTCCAGAAATTTACAGCGCTTGCCATGAAAATTTTTGACAATCCAAAATGTTTTGCTGTTTAGTAATCTAATTGCACCTTACTAAAATGTAACAAATGGAGTAAAACGATTTGTCTGCAATTTTAAAATATTGGAAAAAAATTCTTGAAATTTTTTTTAACACGTACCTATACGAAATTTGGAAGGACGAAACTGAAGCGATCGCAAATAAAAAAAATCCCGTCCCTTACATTAAAAGAAAATCTTATATGTAGCGAGCATCATGCAGGGCCTAACAATGTCAACAAATATATTTTTATTTGCAAAAAGCAGGAAAACTAAAAAAAACATCTATGACCATGGAATACCGTGGGTATTGAAACTTTGGTTGGTTATACGATGTTCTTTCCATGAACTTTGTTTTTTTTTGTATATGATCTCAATCTGCTAAGAATATTGTAGATTTAATTCAATTTTAGATAGATACCTAAATCTAAACCCAAAGCATTTTAAAAAACCTACAGGGATTTTTCTAATTTTTGTTACGAACATTTTCTATTTGATTTAAACAATATTAATTGGGATAAAATATTCGAACTAACTGACGTCGATAAAATGGTGGAGTTTTTTGATTCTAACTTACTGGAAGTGTTCAGCTTGCATGTTGCTTTAAAAACTGCGAAGATAACAAAACCGCCAGCTCCTTGGCTCACGGAAAACTTCCAAATAATGATAAAGTTGAAACATAAAGCGCTGTATAAATATAAGAAACAGAAAACCGAACAAAGCTGGATTGAGTACAAGGAGTTGAGAAGTCTTATAAATATTGCTGTTAAGTCAGAGAAAAAGGCTTTTTTACAACACAAGTTTCTTACGGATCCAAAAAACTTCTGGCGTGTACTTAGATATCTTAATGTGTATTCCGGACCTTCAGTAAATACAGATGTCTCAAATATTGCGGATGCTAATGAACTTAATCAATACTTTTATAATGATACCCGTCAAACAGACTTAAATAACCATTTCATTAACCAGTTCTACAACAATAACCCTTCAAATCCAGAAAAACTCTCATTTTCAAGTGTTAACTCTAATGAAGTAGGAATAATAATACAACAAATTAGAACTCACGCAGTGGGACCTGATGGGATTGATAGGAAGATCATATTATACGTTATCCCCCAACTTTTGCCGCATATTACGTATATTATTAATAAGTGCTTGTCTACTAACAAATTCCCTAAATCCTGGAAATACGCTAACGTCATTCCTGTCCCTAAAACATCTCAACCGCTTTATGTTTCTCAATTCCGACCTACTAGCATTCTCCCTACTATATCTAAAGTGCTAGAAAAAGTTGGTGAGAAGCAGCTTGGAGATTTTACAGCTCGACACAATATTCTACCCCCAACGCAATCGGGCTTTGGTGCACATTATGGTACAAATATGGCTCTTTTAAAAGTTTGTGATGATATAATTCGGGCAAATGATGTAGGCCTGAATACCTGCTTAATATTGCTTGATTATAGCAAGGCATTTGACACCTTGGACCACGGCCTGCTCCTAGCTAAACTGAAATACTATGGTGTGGAGGCTCGTGCGTTGCAGTTTTTCAAAAGTTACTTTTCTGATCGGTGTCAAATTAATACCGCCGTTATTAATATAAACAGTGACCTCGTGCTCTCAATGATATTTCTAGTAAGCAGCACGGTTTGTTACTTAACAAAAGTAAGACGCAACTCCTAATTTTTGGCAAAGATAAAGGAAAAATAATTAGTCTAGACGCTGCCAAAATTTACTTAAATGACTTTCTCTTACGGCCGGTTGCCAAATGCAAAAATAATAATCTGCGTTTTGAAGGTCACGCAGCTTCATTGATCCAGAAACCGTTTTACAAGTTTCGGATTCTCTACTGTAATAAAGATATTCTGGACACATCAATTAAGTTAAAACTTACCGATTCCTTAATTCTCTCCACAATTTCATAGTGTATGGTAGTTTACTGACCTGCCCTACTTCAGAAGGACAAGGTTAGTCTTCAGCGTCTTCAGAATGCCTGTCTCAGATTCTCATACAATATTCGTAAATTTGATCATATATCTACTAGCATAGTGGATTCTCGCTGGCTAACATTAGACGAACGTTTTAAGTCGCAGCTTTTAGTCTTAATTAAAAAAGTAATATCTCTCCAACGTCCGACGTATCTATTTGACAAACTTACCCGTGGATCAGATATTTACTCGGTTAATACTCGCCATAGGGGGCTGTTTACTGTTCCCAAACATACTTCAGCACAGTTTATCAAGGCTTACAACAAATTCCCTCTCCAACTGAGATAAATCACCTCGCTAACTTCATTCAAACAAAAACTTAATCAATACATTTATCTTGTTAGAAACCGATCATAAAACTAGTAACTATTAAATTGTATATACGTATTTCTTTTTTGAATTCACTCTAGCAGTGTCTATCATTTTGAATGAATGTCTATATAATTTATTTGTTATATTTTATTTAATAAATTGTGTCATATACTCGTTTTAGGGGGTTGCATGAGCGCAACTATGTTGTATGCCGTCCACACAGCTATATAAGTTTACAATAAGAGTACAAAAATCAATTTTCTTAAAAGCGTATACGTCTCCATTCAATCAACTTGACGTTTCAGCGCTGGAGAGCTTAATGTCAACAATATGATATATAATTTAATGATTAATTATTTCGAAAAATGTATCAAACTCTCGAGTTAAGTGCATCTAACAGCTGGGACAGCAAATGTTAAAACTTTGTCGTAGGTGAGGTATGGATCAAGTTAATGGATGGATTTTTACGGCCAAGGAAAGACTCTACAGGTTCTAATCTAGATCCAAAACCAGGTTACACAGACATAAGAAGGCAAAGCGCTAGTATGAATCCCATCGGTGACGCTATATACGAGGAAGATCTGCTTCAAGTAACTTCTTTCTTGCTGAGCAGTTTGTAACGTTAGATTGGATCGATACTGGTTTACAGGAGAGAGTTATAAGCTTCACTATTAACCCTGCAGAGGTTGTTCTCATTTACTTCAATAACGACTTCTCAAATGACCCACCATCTTGTGCTTATCTGGAAAATCGCGATAGTTTCATGGGTGTTGATGCCCAAGAATCGGAATCAATATTTATTGAAGATATAGTGAGGCAGGTGCATATGCCGTCTGAAGAATTCGCTGAAGTTGTGACCCTAGAATCTGGAAGGAAAATATTTAAACGCTTTTGGAATTGGCTTAAGAAGCGAATAGGTTTAAAGTAGTTTTTAATATTTGTGCAACTTTTAATTTTTTATATCGAAGAAACTGTTATTTCTGTGAAAATACAGAATAGGTTCTATCTGAATCATGTTTCTTTGATTTGAGGAGTTATAATTCAAAAATTGAAATGACTATGGATGTCAACCTTCAGTCTATGCTGCTTTCATAGTTTTGAACCTGTTTTACTTTTATATTAAAAGATATATCAAATTTATACGAGCAATAGTGCCGTGCCTATACTTCTTTCCTAAAATTAAAAGGAATATGCCCCACTTCCAAACTTCACGATCAAATTTAGTAATATAATCATTCACGTATTCATTTCCTTTTCTATTTTACGTTTACTAAGGTTGTATTTTCTTCGAAGATAACCAAACTTAAGCCAGTCGTTTTGGGTGCTCTTATTTGACCTGTTTTCCTTTAATTCAACATTTTGTATTTGCATTTTCAAATTCGTTAATTTCTAGTTGAATGAAGGTGAGGATCATGATGCAATAAAGTACACGTGTTTTATTTTTTACACTATTACGACGTGTTGTGGTCATTATTAGAATAGATTGAGCTTTTCGTAAGTTTGTCCTACATTTTGATGATACGAAGATATTAGAACAACCGAGCAAAAATTGAAATTGGACCTAATTTAGAATAATCTATTATTAGATTCCATGGCTGATAAATACTAAATAATCGTCGCAACTATGTTTAAAAATCATTAGAATACTATATTTGGGCATTATTTTATGCACAATTCCACGTAAATAAAAATATATATTACAACGAAAGTGGCAGAAATTGTTTAAATGAAGAAATTCCATTTTTCTCAATCAACATTACAGATATTGATTATAACATGTGTATCTACACCAATTAATTAATACTTTATGCAATTTTAAGCTAGTTTGTGAAAATTAACCCTCTGATCGCGGCCAATTCCAAACAAACTCTTCCTGAAGGAAGCGCGGACGCAAACAACGCCACGTGGCCCAAATACATAGTATGTATCCACTCCCATAATTAAAGTCGCTTTAGGAGAACCCGCTTCACCCTATGGAAAACCACCAATGCTTTAGGGTGGTTCATTGTTCTTTTTTTTCTATCCGTTCCGGCTATCAGCGTCGTAACCGAGGAAACAGTAAATACTGATTACAAGCATTCCAGGGACACATTTAAGCACTAAAATTCGTGAAGATACAACAGCGTGTCAAAGAAAAAATATTTTTTATAAATCGGTTAATGATTTTTGTTAACACTTTCAGACACTTTTGGGCATTTATGGTCACTTCAATGTTAAAAAAAAGGGCAAAAAATATGATATTTTTAAATTTTGATGAAAACTACAGGCCGTTTTTTACCAACTGTAGCATGAAGACATATTTCAACGCATAATAATAAAAATGCATAAAATTTACCATAACTCTGGGAGATTGGTAAAGAGTTTTCATCTCCAGAATAAGAGAAAAATCAAATTTGCAGAATCTCTTAAAATCATAAGTATACAAAAAAATTAATTAATTAAACAACTACCCTTATAGATGAACTCTAGGCTTGTTCTGAATGATCCTTGAAGCTGATGTAAAGAGACGTACCTGCGTACCTGTGGTCTATTTCAATGAATGCCGGGCAATTTTTAACGTTCCAATGTATTACTCAGTTCCTCATCAGAGACCTCGCTCCGACTGGTAGTTATTTATGTTATTTTATACTCTTTATGACATGGGTGTTAAGTTTTCCCTCTACATTACATTCAAATTTTTCCTAAATTTTATATAGAATTAACATGAACCGTTAGAAAATTTGGAGAAAATGTCTAAAATTAGATCAGAGACTCAGCAGCCACCTGATTTGGTTATTTGTTTTGGCGTTTTTTATGGCATTACAAACTTAACTATATCGTCTACTATGCGACGACTTTCTGGAAATATAAGTTAATTATATTTCTTTTTTTTTATAAAGCTCGAAAATGTTGGGCACGCCGCTGTCGTCTAATACGACACGCACAATTCAGTGACACCCTGACCACCGCTTTATTTTTAACCCCTCTTTAAACTATTGTGTCGGTCGTCCCCGCTAAATAGACAGTTTCGGGTGAAGGGGGCCCCGATAACTTCGGGCTATTGTTGACGGATTTACTTCTTTTGTATGATTTATTTTTTTAAAGGGCGTAGAGGACCAACAGAAACATTTCTGTTGTACGAATCACGTTCCGTCGGGAGCATGTATCGCGTTTATATCATCAAAAAGTACGAACAACCAAAAATGCACATTTGCTGGCAACATTAGTTAGGAGATAGGCAATGGTTTTGGGGCAACGGCATTATATGCGAATGTTTGGAGCTCGGTAGTCAACGCAAGGAAACATTAAAGGGTGAACTGCGGACATGTCAGCTTCCAGCTTACGCTGTCCAATTTCTAACCTCAAAAAACTGATGAATGTGTTAACAGTGTGGCAAAATGACAAAATGACTAAGAAAACTTAAAAACTCAATTTTAAATTGTGTTGTAAAATGCGAAAAAAATTGTGTACAATGATATTTCAACTTGCAATGATGAATTTAAAGTAAAATTTGTTTGTACCAGCTAGATTAGATTAATGCACGAAATCGCTTATAACTAATGGAAGAATTAAATATACTACGTAATTAATATATTGTTTTTAGACAAAAAATATTAATTTTAAACCGGGGATTCTTTATATAGAAACTTTTTTTTCGTATCGCTTATAGGTTTCCAGTTCGTACAGTGGATCGTTTTATTGGGCACACGGTGTACTTATAATGGCAGAGACATGTAATAAAAAATGTATTGTATCAGATAAGATTAAAAGGTAATTAAAAATACACCGACCTAACTTTTGCAAGTTAATCTTCTTATCTAGTTTTTTTTAATAGGTCTGTTCTAATCTAATTAAAACAAAGTGAAAGGCTAATAAGGTTAAGAATTCAGTTGAAGTGTATGGAATTTAAAAATATTTCTTTCTTATAGTATTAAGATTAATTTTTATGGTTGCAAGGGGAAGTTGATTTAAGATTGATTATATTCTTGTGGGTAATGTTATTTTAGGCTGAAGAAGATTTTATGATTTAACTGTATTGTTTTTTTTTTCTATTATAATTCCTCCTTCTATTCAAAAAAGGTAGCCTATCGACATATAGGCTATCGGGAGTTGAATAAGTGTTGCTAGATGCGACTTTACAGTGGGCGTTCGACACGGCAAACTATCACGACAGCTCCGCTTCTCGATATTAGAAGTTATCAGATCGATACGAAAACGTGATTCCTCATTTCCACCTAAATTACAGTAATTCGCAACGGACACTGTAAGTAAGATTTATTACCTCACGACATGAGAGGACATTCCCGTAGTCATATATTTGGAAAAAAGTATGCAATTTTGCAACTCGTCCTGCGTCCTGCGTTTTCCCCGGAAATAAATCGAAAACAAGAGCCCTAGGTAGAAAAAATAGTTCCCTCCTTGAAAAAAATAAAATCGAGTAAATTGATTCGTTTTAAATTGAAAATGGGGATCTCGATTACACACAAACATTCAACTATTAATCCGGGCCATTAGCATTTCTTTCGCAAAACCGATAAAATGATACCCCTGTAGTTTTACAAGTGGGAGTGTCGTCCTCATATCCTCCAATGGCAGCGTCATCGGCGTCGACGGCAATAAAACGAACTTGTAAGAGTTCGGCCGTCTCATTGGCGAAGTGCTCCACGTCCTGCGACCCCGCTACGTGGTTTACCGGTCCGTCGTAAAAGGAATTCGGATTATTTTTGTTTGAGGCCCGCTTCCGGAGAACGCCTCGTTGCGCGTATTTTACAGGAAATGAAATTGGCAGAATTTGGGAATAAAAATTACATTAATAAAAACAATAAATTGAACTAAGATTATTGTAAATTTGCGGGAACGTATTCAGGAGCAATGTCTGGAGTCTTTGCGGAAAATAAGAAATCGACTTTCAGGCAGATTTCATATAAAGTGTGATTCAATAAGGGTTTCCACATTAAAATAATAAAAAAACTAGGAAGAATATAAAAATATACAAACATTTTTATTTGCCATTTATTTGCTCCATCCTGTTGGAACCACAAATCTTCAATGTCCATACCTTCCAACTGCTCCCAGAAAAAATCAGATATCATGTTTCGCGATAGCGAACACCGTAACCGTAACAGAGTTTTCCGCATTATCCTCGAAAAAAAAGGGCCAATTATTCCTCCGCACCAAAATGCGCACCAAACAGTCACTTTTTGAGGATGCATTGCTTTTTGAACAATCTCCCTTGGATTTTCTAAGCCCCAAATACGAGCATTGTGTTTGTTTACAAAGCCACCAACGTGAAAACCATTCTGCAAACACGCGGCGCTGTTGATGATCTCGAGGTTTCAACTCCTGAGTTATTTGGACTTTATATGGGTGTCGATGTAAGTCTTTTGTTAACATTCCCTATGTGGTTGAATACGTAAGGAACACTTGCTGCGATATTTTGATCTGACCGACCTGCACGAGCACGTTGAGGGACTTTGAGAGTAGTTACAGATCCAGTTTGCTCAAATTTTTGAACCACATTCCAAATTGTCCTCCCAGAAGGTCGATTTTGCATTTTTTCTTGATCGACCATTTTCATAATAGGCTTGCACAATTTTTACACGTTGTTGTTGATAATAAACAAATACAGTGGCGTTTCAAAAATATTTCGGATTATAATCTGGAAACTCTTACCCGTTACAAGACGGCAAAAGAGACCTACCCAAATTTCTCTGTCCGTCTTCTTATTGCCAATTGATGTGTGATATGGTCAACTTCTTTTAAAGCTTCAATATCTTTCAACCTATGGAAAGTTGAGTATGTATGATAACTGTCGATTTCATGTACGCCAATTACTACAAGCGATTTTTAACTTAAATTTGATTATTGTTTGCAAATTTTATGATTGGTTTCTCCACAAGTTGGATTTTTTTTCGTTGGTTTCAAAAGTTATGAGAAAATGCACAAGATGTAAAGAT